TTCATTCCTTGTTATGGCTGAGTAGTATTCTATGGTGTATGCATATATATACACACCACATTTTCTTAATTCAGTCATCTGTTGATAGACACTTATGTTGATTCAATAACTTTGCTATCATGAATAATGCTCCTGTAAGCATATGAGTGCTGGTATCTTTTGATACAATGGTTTCTTTTCCTTTGGGTAGATACCCAGTAGTGGGATTGCTGAATCAAATGTTAGTTCTACTTTTAGTTCTTTGAGAAGTCTCCATACTGTTTGGGAAAATTTGCTAGCCTTATGCAGAAGAATGAAACTGGACCCATCTCCCTCATCATATACAAAAATTAGCTCAAGATGAATTAAAGACTTACATGTAAGACCTGAAACTATAAAAATTCTGCAAGAGAACCTAGGAAAAATTCTTCTGGATGTCAACCTAGGCAAAAAATTCATGACTAAGACATCATTGGTATTGTTAATAAAGTGTGTTCACAGCTTGGCTTGAACAGAATTGCATAGATGTACTTGTGGATAAAATCGCATAGTGTTAAATCCGTAGATTCTAAAGGCAGCCTGCCTTCTTTTAAATCGTGATTCTACATGTAATGATTGGGTTATTGGGAAAGTTACCTAAACTCACATCTCTAAAATGGAAACCATATCTAACTCAGAGACTTAATGTGAGAATTAGAAAAAATAATGATGAAAAGAATTTATGCAGCACACTTAGCTGAGCACATAGTTGATAACCATTGTGATTGATATTACTTTTATACAGACTGCTAAGCATCATGGATGAGCTACAGGGAGTGTTAAATTGAAATCTGATAATGAACTTTGTTTTCAACAATTCACGTTCATCACTGAGAGTAACAGTTGAGTGTGTTTTCATTCCAACCCACTTCACCATATTAGTGTTTAGGCTTTAAATACAAAGTTTAAAAAGAAGAAGAAGGACCTACTTTTCCAAACCCAAACATGGGAAACCAAAGTTAAGTGACATTCTGAATCCTAGTGTGTGGCTGTGGAAGAATCTAGAGAGAAGGAGGAACCTTGATTTACGTACTACTAATCCCTGATATCAGCATAAGGGGCTGGTCAATTTCCTGGTTATTGGACTGGCCTTTGAGAGCTGGAGACAGGCTGAGGTTGACAACTAAAATAATGACTGTTACTGGAACTACTGATAGCTTTGTTGCGGCTAGGAATATAGAAAATCTTTCATTTTGGTATTGTATTCGAGATTCTGAGATGTGTATACATAATATGACAGCCACTCAATGCATTTCCATCTGGGGAATCAGATAGCTAATCTTTAAGGGGGAAAATATAGATGTTGTTTCAAAGGCCTATTAGCAAATGACAGAATAGCAAAACCAAAGAAATCTCACTTTTTGACAGCCTGATGGGGTGGCAGATTTTTTTCTGTCTTTGCAAAGTCCTGCCTGCCTCAAAACTGGCTGCTAACTGCTTCCTGTCCATTTTGCTGTCGGCCCCTGTCTTTAGAAGAAAAATGAAGCAATCCAAAGGGGACCGAAGAAACCTCAGCTACTGAGTTACTGTTGTCACTGTGTGTCAGTAACACTGTGTGTCAGGTGCTGAACTCAGCACTTACCAAGACTTTGCCCATGAAACCCTGCAGTGACCCTGTGAAAGAGGTTACATTACTGCTATTTCACAAGGGAGGAGACTGAGACTTCAGAGGTGATATTAACATGTCCCAAATCTACACAGCTGGAAAGTGGCAAAACCAGGAATCACGTGTGTGTGTGTGTGTGTGTGTGTGTGTGTGTGTGTGTGTGTGTGTGTGTGTTCCCAAATCCTGTGCTCTCAATATCAGGTTACGCTGCTTCTGCATTCAGCAAACATTTAAGTGTTTAGTGAACACCTGACCCGGCATTCTTGGCAAAGTATGCCCAATATAGCAAATAATGTGGATACCTTACCCACCCAAAATGTAATACAGTTCAGTGGACATTTCCCACATATCCTGAGAGCTTCTTTCTTTCTCTGGGCTTTCTCTGGCTGCAGAGTGCTCAGCTCACCTACAGGGCAGGACAGAGGTACCAGGGACTTCATGCTCATAGAAACAACTTTCAACCAGTAAGGGGCTGGTGTTAGTGGATAAATAGCACAGCTGCTATGACCCCTGTGAGAGGACACTTCTGATATGCACGTGTTCTAGAAAATCTCTTAGAGGTGCCCAGACAGAATTGAACCCCAATTTTTGCCCACATCAATAACCTGCTCGCACCATCATTTTTTGATCAGCTTCCCAATATGACTCAGGTAGGCCAAGTGGGTGTTTCCCCGGACCAGCCAATGGACAGATAGTTATTGATTGTCCTCTGTTAAAAAGTGATAGATAGTAGTATGGGTAAGATCTGGTCCCTGCTCTCTAAGAGTTGACAAGCACACACACACAATAGCCGCATCACAACCATGAGACTTGGTTCAAGTCAGTGGCAGTGGGTGTGAAGTAGTTGAATCCTGGATATATTCCGAAAGTATTGCTAAGAGTATGTGCTGACAGGCCAGGTGTAGGATATGAGAGAAAGACAAAAGTCAAAGGTATTGTTACCAATGTTGTTGTTTTTCCTTTGAGCATTTGAAAGAATGGAGTTGTTCTTAGCTTAAATGGGAAGACTCCGGAAATAAGTATTTGGAGGTGGTGAGAGTAGGTGTTAAGAGTTTAGTTCTTTTTTTTTTTTTTCCATTTTCATTTTAGATCCAGGAGGTACACATGCATGTTCATTACATAGACACACTGTGAATGGTGGGGAGTGGGTCTCAGATGGGCTATTCCCCAGATAGTGAACATTGTACCCCATAGGCAATTTCTAAACCCTAACCACCCTCCCCCACCTCCTTCTCTGCTGGTGTCCCCAGTGTCTATTATTTCCATCTTTGTGACCATTTAGCTCCTGCATATGAGTGAGAACATGTGTTTGGTTTTCTGTTTCTGAGTCAGTTCACTTAGGATGATGACCTCCAGTTCAATCTATATGACTGCAAAGGACATGGTTTCATTCTTTTTTATGGTTGTATTTCATGGTGTATATATACTCACATTTTCTTTATGCATATATCTATGTGTATGAGATGACTATTAGTCATCCAAGTAGGGATATAGAGTAGAGAGCTGGAATGCAAGCTATTGTTTATGGGAGAGACCAGGGATCAAGATACAAATTTGGGGGTCAATACCACGTGGATTAGGGGGTACATGAAATTATGGGGAGAGTCTCTGATTTCAAGGAGAGTTCAATCTAGTGGAGGAGACATGTCACTGAGTCGTACAAGGAAAACATCCTAGATCATGTTGAATGCTGGGAAAGGGAATTGCAATGAGTATCCTTTGTGGGGAGGAGACACAAAGATGCAGCAAGACCCTGCCTTCTGGAAGCTCACAGCCTAAAAGAGAAGACTTGGCTGCATACAGACAGCAGGAGATAAAATGGGGGTAGCCAGAGGGGTATAGGAAACACCCTCAGAGACTGGAGGAGATCACAATCACTTAAGGCTGGAGGAATGATAGATGACTTCATGAGAGAGGCTTTGGAACCAGACCTTGAAGGATAAGCAGAATCTTGACTTTTAGAGATTAGATCAGGAGGAGTCTTCTACCCAAAGAAAGAACATGGCTAGGTACTCAGAAATAAGTACTCAGAAATAAGGTTATCTAGAAAAAAAAGGTTGGGATCCAGTTGTGAAGAGTAGTGACTATCAAGATAAGAGTTTGGATTTTACCCTGTGGCAGTGGGGAGCCATTGGAGTCAGTGACATGTGGTTGGAGCTGTTCCTTAGCCAAGGTGCCTTTGAGGTTTAAGGGACAGAAGATAGGAAGCCACAAGACCAGTCAGTAGGGCTTGGCAGGGAGGAAGGAGAGAATGAGGTAGACAGGAAGATATTTAAAGAGACACATGATTTGATAACATACCAGAATGTGAGGGACATTTGACTTGTATTATTTCTTGGAAAACATACTGGAGAAGAGATTTATACAAGAGGTATAAGAGATACACAGAAGAATGTTCATTGGAGCATTGTTTATCACAGAAAAAGCTGAGAAACAACAAAAAGATCCATCAATAAGAAACTGATTAAACACACCATGATACATTCATACAGTGGAATGCTCTTCAGTGATTAAAAAGGATGATGTATATCTAGGTTCATTGGCATGAAAGGAGCACACAATTTATTGTCGAGTAAAAAAGACAGGCTGTGAAACAACATTTATTGTATAACCCCATTTATCAAAATGATATCTTTAAAATATCATTCGTGCATATATGTCTAGGGAGACCTTTGAAATTATGTTCATCAAACTGTGGATGACAGTTTTTGATAGAGGATAGCATTTGGTGGCATGTTTGTTTGTTTTGGGAGGGGGTGATTTATCTTAACATTTTTTCCAGTTGGCATGAATTTTCTGCCATAAGCTTATAATATCTTAGACATACGCCTATGCTAATTTTTAAAAAGAAATCAAACAGTTCATGAATTCTTACAAGGCAAACAGCTCCAGGTCTTGTGTGAGCAGTTGGATTTTTGCTTGTTTGTTTTTTTTTGGTTTTAAGTTGGGGTCTCATTCACTCTGTTGCCCAGACTGGAGTGCAGTGGCATAGTCACGGCTTACCACAGCTTCTAACTCCTGGGCTGAAGGGATCTACCTTCTTCAGCCTCCCGACTAGCTGAGGCTACAGGTCCCTGCCACCATGCCCAGCTAATTTTTAAAAATTTTTTGTAGAGATGAAGTCTTACTATATTGCCCAGGCTGGCCTCAAACTCCTAGCTCAAGTGATCCTCCCTCCTTGCCCTCACAAAGTGCTAGGATTATAGGCATGAGCCACCGAGTCCAGCCAAGTGTGAGGGTTAGCTGATGTCTCTAAAACAGTGTTTGGTCTTTGAGCCTCTCCCAGAAACAAGATAGGTCTGGCACAGGGCAGAGGGTGGGGAAGAGCCTGAGGGATCATGTTCAAATGGTCTAGTAACCTTATCCTCCCTTCCAGGGTCTTCCTGAGAGCTATCAACAAGTTTGCAGAAACTATGAACCAGAAGTTCCTGGAACACACAAACTTTGAGTTCCAGGTGAGTATGGGATGGGCACCAGAACGGCCCTGGGAGCTGCCAGGGCTGCTCTGGCATCTTGGGCTGATTGCACCTCAGACACATCCTGAGCCCAGCCCACAGAAGATGTCAGTGTCTCTGGGGATTTTCACAGAAGGGTGTGAGTGAGGAGGAAGGTTCTTGGGTTTTCAACCAGAGCCTTGATTAAATAGTCATCAACTGAACAGCTTATGCAAATATGACTATATAATGGGCCTTGTGCTGATGAGAAGATGTGTTCATTCATTGTCAGAAGAGTACTGCCTTTTAAAAACATAACACCTTTTTTCTTTTCTATTCCCTGGAGCCAAAATGCAGCCAATCATAGCCACTGAAAATCATTTACAATAAAGCTTCCAAGGGCATTTTTGTGGCTTCCTGATTCCTTTAAAAGTCACATTTATGCTCAACCAAAATCTAGACCTCTGAGAGATTCAGGGACATAAAAGCATGTCCCTGGGGCACACAGAGGGACATACCTGCCCCAGGTTCAAGTCCAGGTCCAAGAAGAACAAACTCTTCGAAGCCTGTGGGAAAGTCTGGACTGCTGTCTCTGGCTGGAGATATGAGAGTGAAGGCCCCCAGAGGGGATCCCCTCCAGAGAAGTCCCTGACCCCAGGATCTCTTGCAGTGGAAGATTATGGAGTAGAAGTCACTGAGCCCGGTGAACTGGGATGAAGGGATAAAGGCGTTTTCCTGCCTGCTCATCTAGGGTGTTCAGTTCCCATCTGGGCTTTCGTCTCCTACCAACTGAGCAACTTCAGGCAAGACCTGGTCTACATCCATGCCCCCAGATGACTCACCTGTAAATTGCCAGCCACTACCCTCTCTACTTCGTAGGGCTTTTCCAGAACTGGAATGTGACAGGTGGCTTGCTGGGAGAATCCACTTATAAAGTTCCACAAGTTTCTGTTCAGATACTTCCTCCTTTTGGAGACCTCCCCTGCCTGACTACTCTCTGAGGGTCACCCCCACCAACCCTGTGGTCATTTGACATCACTTGATCTCTTGGAGTCTCTTCATAGCACTGAATGTCATTGGAAATCATCTTTTTTACTCATCTTCCCACATGTTTTCCCTCTTTCCTCCGGTAGAATGTAAATGTCCTGAGTGCGAAGACCTTGAGCTCACAGTAATGTTGTGCACTGTGCTGGGCACATAGTAGGTCTCCTTTGAAAAGGTGATGTCTGGGCTGAGGCCTGTGAGATTTACCCTACTGAGAGCACCAACCTCATAAGTTTTGGTTGAGCTGAGAGTGTGAGCATTATCTTTGAACAAAATTCTCTTGCACTACCTGGCATTCAGATCAGGTAACTGAAGCATAATGAGAATGATGCTAAAATGAGTAGCTGTCATTTTCTGATGGCTTAAACCTGCTGGATCTCATGAGAAGCTATGGAAGGGCATTATCTTTTTCAGTCCCTATGAGCTAGCTACTAATATATTATATATATATATTTTGTGTGTGTGTGTGTGTGTGTGTGTGTGTTTATTTCTGCTTTAAGGACCCTGGAGGTAAGACTAAGGGATGAGTAGATAGCCTGATGTCACATAGAACATCATGCAGAGTTGGAACCAGAACTCAGCAATGGTTGGCACCAAGGCCCACACAGATAACCACAGCCACACACCAGATATGGGGTTTCACTACTATATTGGGTTGACCACCTGGCAGGGTCTGGGTGGCAGTTTACCTCTCCATTATAAAACTTTGACAGGGGAACAAACATGTCTCTCCAGCTGTTTTGAAGCAGGATAGATGTTTGATTCTCTTTCCAATGTGGCCCAGATGACTGCAGTCTCTGGTTATGGGTGCACACAGAAAAGTTAGTAAGGCCATAGCTTTTTTGGAGGGGTGACTTGGAACAACATACCCAGGGCCCAGCGATGGCAGCATTTGGGCCATAAAACTGCAAGCTGTTTGTTTGTCTCTTTCCATGGGCATCACCAGTAGCAGCCTTGGACTTGCTGTCCTGACTTCGCTCACCTCCATGGTCGGAGGATATTTTCCAAGAGAAGCTCGGCTTCAGTCCTTCCTGTCATTCCATTAAGTCTTATCCTGTTTCCCTGAAAGAAAATCTGTATCTGAGAGACACACAGAGATTGAAGGTTTCATACATGGAAAGTTTGAGCTTATGAGCCATATGACTTTAGGCAAATTACTTTACCCCACGTGCCTCAGTTTCCTCAACATTAAATTAGGATTTTCATAGTAGGATGTCCTATTGCTTGGAGGATTAAGTGAATTAATTCATGTGAAGCACTTAGTATAGTACTGGGATCACAGTAGCCATTTAATAAATGTTAGCTAATAATAATACTAATAACAACATTATTTTAATGATGGTTATGACAATGACCCTAAGTGAGTCAGGGCTGGAAACTCATGTCAGTCCCTGATAAACAGGACAGTAGCGGAATCCTGTTTCTGTCCACTACAACATTGCCTGGGACTGTCACACCCACAAGTAAAACAGGAGTATGGCCAATGTTCCAAAGTAAGTCTCTTTTTCTAATGAGGCTTCTGTAGATATTTACTGAAAAGTACCCAAAAATAGGACCATTTTTTCAGGTTTATCTTTGTTCTACCTTTTCTTCCCCCTGTGTGAGAATGAATTTGTTTTCTGTACCCTGCCTGGAACACACCTTGTCTTCTTCTTATGGTTTCATTAATTATGCATTTAATATCAGCAGGAGCGGCATCCGTCACTGAAGCTGCCTGCATTGGCAGTCCCTGTCCAGGGGAGGGGCAGGTGCAATGAGATTATCCCTAATGTCTTTTCCAGACCCGTGGCTTTGTGATTCAAAGAGCAGAAAGCCAGAAGCTCAGTGGGTGCCACCTGCAGGTGACAAGACTTAGGAATAATACAAATGGTGTTTTCTACTTGGGGCTAAGGTCACTCGCATTTCTGGACCCTAGTCAGGATACTGGACCTTGGTGTTTGCATCCATTCACATGGTCAGAGAAGACCAAGAGAAGATTTCAAATTCAACTAGGCAAGAATTTTTGTTTAAGGGCAATTCTCACGGGTCTAGGCTGTTGCAACATTATTTGAGGAATTCAAAAGCAAAGCAGAACATTGCCCTGCCCTCAAGGATCCTGGAATCTCTATAGAAGGCTATATAAATCCATCGTCTAGCATCTAGTCTTTATCGGGCATCTATTTAGGGTATTTTGATCCTTATCGTAATTCTGCTAGGGAGGGATATACCCATTTCACTGGCAAATAAACTGATCTTCAAAGAAGTGGTTGACTTTTCTGTTAAAGGTCATCTAACCACTAAATGGGCCACTTGGATTCAACCCCAGGCCTGTCTGCAAAGCCCATCCTCTTTCACTTTTCTGTTCTCTTAGAAACAAAATGCCTTTAGATTCTAGGATACAGCTCTATTTAATTTAGAGAAGCACTCTCTGCCCTTGCTAGTTCTTACTAGCACTGGGCTAGAGAGCTCTAAGATGATTGGCTGTACATGAGAATCCATGCTGAAACTCTGAGTTGCTCTGGAATCAGTGGTTATACTGGGGCCCTTTCTGTTGTAGGAAGCTCTGTGATTGGTACTGAGATCATTCTCTGTACTTGAGAAGCTCTGGGTGTGGTCGTTCCTGCCTAGACCCTGAGGCCTTTTTGGATTAGTTTCTGGACACCAGCTCATCTTGAGATCATTTTGGAACCTGTACTGGAATCTGCGCTGTGAAATGAAAAACTTCCAGAATATCCCGAGCTATTAGTGGAAGCCAGTGTGGTCTTTATAATGGAAAATGTAACCAGTAGTGCCAAAAAAAAAGGAGGTGAAAGAGAAACACATACACAGAGGGAAGAGTCATGGAAGCAAAAAGCTCGTAGCACCCTCATAGGGTCACCACGCAGAAAGATGGGCACATGCCTAGGGGCTATTTTCCTAGCCCCTGGTTGCTCCAGCTTTGGGCCCCAGACAACCTCTGGTGTGATGTTCCTTGCTTGAGTCCGTCCTTGGCACCTTCCACTCCCAGAATCAGCTTGCCCACTGCAAAGGAGGGCAAGCTGATGCATATCAGCAATGCTGGGTGCTGGGTTTTTATCTTTTTTAAAAAATTAGAATTTGGGAAAATAATAACACAATTTAGAAAGAAACCCATTGAGAAAGACTTCGGTGGGATCAAAAATCCTTGATCTCTCTTCTATAAAGACTGTAAAACATCAGATGAACCAAGGAAAACCTTAACCAACAACAAAGGCCAGGGGAAATTGAGAAAGATTTTAGCAGAAGATCAGGATGGTAAAGAATGCAAGTTCTATGCCGGGCTCGGTGGCTCAGCTTGTAATCCCGCGCCTTTGGGAGGCTGAGGTGAGTGGATTGCCTGAGCCCATGGGTTCAAGACCCGCCTGGGCAGTGAGACCTCATCTCTACAATAAATCAAAAAATCAGCTGGGTGTGGTAGCGCATGCCTGTAATTCTGGCTACTGGGAAGGCTGAGGCGGAAGGATCGCTGGTGCCCAGCAGGACGAGGTTGCGGTGGCCGGGAGCGGCCACTGCACTCCAGTCTGGGCGACAGAGTGAGACTCCAACTCAAAAAAAAAAGAATGCAAGTTCTAGGGTCAGATAAACTTGAATTCAAATGCACCTTCACCATTCTGTAGCTGTGTGACCTTAGGTAAGACATGTAACCTCTCCAGGTCTCAGTTTCCTGATCTCTAAAGTGAGGAGAATAATAATACAAATCTCATAGCTCCTTAGGAGGATTTAACAAGAATGCATGCAGAGCACTTGGCCCATTCATGAACTCATTCAACAGATTTCCTGTGCACATACTGGGTCAGACATGACGCCAAATGCTGTGTATACACCAGTGAACAGAAATCTGAGGTTCTTGTCTACGTGATGCTTATATCCAGTAGGGGAGACAGAAAATAAGTTAATTTTGTTTAAAATATGTCATAAATGCTGCAAGTTGGGTGTAATGAGTGTGAGTAATGGATGGATCAACTTTAGTCTGGGTGAAC